TCAAACTTGAAAGCTTTATCGCAGTCCAACACTCTTATTTTAAGTTAATTAAATTTAATTCTGACAGCTACTAAATCTCCGTACGTATCTTTTGTCATTTTTTTATTTACTAGAATATTTAAACATGGGCTTGTAATTTGGCTTATTATATTTTTTTTTTAATTATTATTTTGATTAAGTGAATTTTTGTTATCATTATTTTAAACAAACCTAAACATTTGTATAATTGCGCATTTCTATTAATCACGTCTACTTAACTCAAAAAATATATCCGCAATTTTGTAATCACTTTTTTGAGTCTCTTACTGACTACTATATAAAAGAATTGTACAGATCTAATTTTTAATTTATAACACTCAAATAAATGTTTTTTAAATAACTGCAATCGGAAAAGTCTGCATTTGTATTTTGTTTTATCATTAGTATAGCTTATCCTGTATTGTTTTATTTACATAAATTATTTGTGTCTTATTAACTTGAAACTAAAAACATCGATAGTTTTACATATCTCCAAAAACAGAATTCGGGATCGAATATAACTGACACACCTATGACGATAATAATATGTTTATAATAAATAATGTGTTGTACACATTTCGTCAAAATACATTTTTTGCTCATTGGTATCGGAATATTTCGTCTTCTTCTTTATATCAAGGGCCCATGATCAATGTATTGATCATTTTGGCTCCTATGCATGTAGATGAGATTTGCAATGTTTCTGTGACTTGAGTTGAAGAGGATCTTTCACTGGTTGCAAGGTCTACTCTGCGACGGTATCACGAACTAGCGTTTGGAAGGCCTGATGCTGACGCAATGTTTCATGTGTTGTCAACTCAACTGTTCCTTATGGGAAGCTTGTTCCAGTCCCTGATTGTCTTTTGGAAGGATTTACCAGCTCCTTTACTGGCTTCTTGTTGGTAACATATATTTCAGTATTTGATACTTTTTATTTTTTTTCTAGTAATGTAGCCATGTGTAATATTTTACATAATTCTTTTTGTGTGTGTTAAATGTATTTTAAAGTAAATTTTTCTTCAAACGTAAGTAAATAAACGGGAAGAAGAAATCTTATTTTAATTGAAATGTTTATTATGTATGGTAATTCTTTAGCAAGGAACAAAACAGCACATATCTTATTGGACACAATGATACATACCAGGGAGCAGTGTTTGCACACAGCATCCGCTTATTTTGAGAAAGTACCCGCTGGTTCTAAATGTTACAAAAAATTAGCTTCTTATTGTTTATGATGTAAGCTGGCGTTTAAAAATCAGGCTTACAGACACCCCTATCGTACATGCCGGCCTTTCAACAAAATGCCTACAGATAGTCCTACAGCCTACCTGATGGCATGTAAACAACAGTCCGGCTGACAGTCCTACAGCCTAACTGCCAGCCTTTAAACAATAGTCCTACAGACAGTCCTACACCCTACCCGTGGCTCAGTATGTATTAATATATTAGTCACTTCCCCTAAAGAACAAAAGAAGTCAACCTATTGACCGGAGTTCAGACATCGCGCGTGATAGCTCGCTGCGTGACAGATTTTTTTTTTTTTGTCGCTCAGTACAATTAATCTAAAACACGTGGAGTGGGAGGTTTGTGGGGGGGGGGGGGTTGGGGGGGGGGGGGGGGTTGTTAAGAGAAATCAGAGTTATGCAAAACAATATCTATAAGAGATGCACACACCAAACCATGGACGATTTGTAATAAATGTGTCTCTTATCTCTTTATTGGAATTAATACATTTTTAGAGGCAGATAATAAACGTATTAAAATGACGTCAACATGTCATTGTGAGGCAGTTTGTAGAACAGCCGAGAATGTTAACGAAGAAGAAAAGATTACACAAGGTTTAATTTTATATTCTACTTTTTTTAGTGCGTATCAGGTAAACATCATCTGTGCATAGAAGTAGGCTTGCTCAACGTTTATTCTGTCATACAGTTCGTCACCAGTGTAAGCCTATCTGTTTAAACAGAGCTAAAATTTTTGGTCCATGAAACGTCACAGCCATGAGTGAAATCGCTTAGGTTTAAAGCTTCCATTCCGGCCTCTGTTTGGAGTTGGAAAAAAATCAGGCTTATTTTTGTAGCTGCCATACAGTTTTATGTTTATAGCTGCCATACAGGCTTATGTTTATAGCTGCCATACAGTTTTATGTTGATAGCTGCCATACAGGCTTACGTTGATAGCTGCCATACAGGCTTATGTTGATAGCTGCCATACAGTTTTATGTTGATAGCTGCCATACAGGCTTATGTTGATAGCTGCCATACTGGCTTACGTTGATAGCTGCCATACAGTTTTATGTTTATAGCTGCCATACAGGCTTATGTTGATAGCTGCCATACAGGCTTATGTTGATAGCTGCCATACAGTTTTATGTTGATAGCTGCCATACAGGCTTATGTTGATAGCTGCCATACAGGCTTATGTTGATGGTTGCCATACAGGCTTATGTTTATAGTTGCCATTACAGGCTTATGTTGATAGCTGGCATACATGCTGTCATAAAGGCTTATTATTGTAGCTGTCATACAGGATTAGGTTTATAGGTGTCGTACATGCTTAGCTTTATAGCTGCCATACGGGCTTAGATTTATAGCTGTCATACATGGGGTTGGTGTCAATTTTAATGAATTAAAAAAAAAATAATTATCTTTTTATAGATAGATAATTGTGAGTGTAACGCTTAATTTAAATGGTAGTTACAAATGTTTTTTTTTTCCCTATTAAAAAATTTTCAGCAAATGTAAAATTTCAATAAAAAATTTAACAAAATTAAAATTGAACTAATCAATTAACTTACAGCGGCATGTACAGGGGAGACAAATCTAAATATATTATCATTACAACCAGAAACAAAAATCCCTTTGCTAAAGTCGACGCAGCGATTATGACCCTTGGGTTGATTCCAGCGTAAATAATGCTTTGGAAGTTAACTGATCACAAATAATAATTTTCTTTTTATGTATGGTTGTAATGTTATCTGAAATAGGCTTGTATAGTGTAAACAAACATTCCCAGCAGTTAGGACTACTTTGGATTAGTATAAACTTTGTTACTTGAATGCATTTTTTTGTCAATTCAATTTAGTAGATGGTGAGTTTCTAGTTATTTAGTGGTTTCATGAGGTTTACAAATTAGAACACGTGTATATAGTGTGTATATTTTATTATTTCCTGGTATTAGGAAGTCAGTTTCAGGTCGTGACGTAATCGTTTGGTCGGCCATAAATGGGGCTATTTATATCCACAAACTGAACAGAGCACAATATAGACTAGAATGATTGCTTGGATTAAGTTTTGAACACCATGGATGAGATGGGATAGCGTGGTGGGGCAATTGCTGTGTGGCGAGTGTGGTGTAACAATCGTTGTGTGGCGAGTGTGGCTATTCAAGCGTGACCCGATGCGTAAATTAATTCAGGAATCAAACGTTATTTTTAAAATAAATTATTTTTGTGTGCAAAATTTAGACCCTGTTTGGTGATTTCTTAAATTAATCTGTTTAAAAAAAAAATTTCTCAATTTAAATATACATATCTTACAATTTCCATGTATCATTAAAATGTTATGGTTTTTATAAACTAACTGATTTATCTACACATTTTATTCTCTATAATTAACAGACAAAAGTACAAGGATAATTTTTTTCACGAAATGTATTAAATAATTAATGACGAAACAAAATGTCACTGAAGTAATTTATCCACGAAGGCGTTGTTATTCCTAGCAGGAAGAAATGAGACTTTACCTCCTTTTATTGCCTGTCTATTCGATTAGGGATAACTCGATCAATTTATTTTAAAAATGATGTTTAAAAAAAGTCCGTAAAAAGCGGTCAAGCCTTAGGCTAAATCTTTTTTGGAAAATTGCGAAGACCTATGTCTATCACTCTTCAGTTTCTTTGGGTTTCAGTTCGCATTTTTGAGAAGTAAATTCACATTCGTAACCATCGGGGCACACCTCGGGACCTTGGAAGCCCAGTAGAGACAAACCACTACACACGTCACCTGCATCTGGAGAAGAAAACAATAAAATGTGGGTGGGGGTGGGGTGGGGGTGTGTGTTTTAATAGTAAAGCGTTCAATCAACAGAGCAGCTTGGAGACAAGTGAGGGCTGACACTAATTACCCGAGCCCCGTGATGGGCCCGACATCCCTACCCTGACACTGGACCGACACTTGTGTCGAACAGACTTCTAAAACTGGACTCTTTCTTTCCATTTAGCACCAAAAATATTTTAACAAGGAAGTAAATGGTCTAGAATAAATTTTAATAAATGGAAGTTATACATTTATCACAGCTAGATTGTATTCATTTGAAGTATCCGGTAAACATGCAAGGCAAGGAAGCAGTTGAATATTCGTTCCTTACACATGTAATGTCAATGGCATTAACGTAGTGTTTGAGCTTACTCAGAACTGTTGCACAGAGGTCACAGCATCCGCACAAGGCCCCTCTGCTTATTATCTTCCCTTTGCAGTTCTCTTGCGATACGTCCGGACACTTGATAATATTACAAGGGTCGCCAGTACAAGAAATGGCGACACTGAAACTGTTCAGTTTTAATAGCATCACCACGATGAACAAACCCGATGGCGTGTGGCGTCTCATCTATTGGTAAGAATAGTTGAAAATATGCAACAATTATGCTATTCCAGATAGTAATTAATTATAAAAGACGAAAAATAGGAAAACTATCTGACAAGCTAGTTTCAAGCACCTACAATAGTAATTCGATTTCTTACTTACGAGCCTATTGTTATTTATAGTGCAAAATTTAAACCATATTTCATAAATAAAAAAGATACAAATCTTAGTAAACAAAAGCTGTATAATAATTAATTCGAATTTAAATGTATAATACTATCACAAACTTGACCTTTCAACTACTAACATCAGCAAACGAAAGGCATAGCCACGAAAACTAGACAACGCATTTCCTTGCCTACGTATTCGTGTCGTTATTTTTCAATAGTGTCCTTGAGTTTTCCGACTCTATCAATGATATGTACCTATCCTATCTTCCAATGAAGCCGGTATTTTCCTTCACAGTTTTTAACTATCAAGCTTTAAAAAAGTAAAATCCGCTTTTAAAAAAAAAAAAAAAAACATACCCAAAAAAAAAGTATTATTTTTTTTTTTTTTAAGAATTAGAAAAAATTATCTTAACAGAAAATAAAAACAAATGAATGCTGCTGATCATGTTATTTAACTGAAGAGAATGGGCTAAATTATCCCAAAAATTTAAATAAAAATACTTTTAAGACTCAAATCCAAGCTAAACTTCACCAAATCGTATATCAAAATCACAATTAGTGCTACTCACAGTCGCGTTGATCATTTCCTTATCACGCCAACCTATAGGTCTACGCGGTCTCCATTATTTAGCACAGTCAAATTATTCAATAACAACTTCATTGACTGCGGAGAAAAGTATTATTATTGTTTCATTCAAAACAGAAATAAGCCCCCCTTGACTAAAGTCGGCGCAATGATATGAGCCTTAGGTAACACTTTGACTGTCGTTTGTCTTTTCAATCAATAGATACACATACAGAAGAGTGTATGTAAAGCAGTGTTTCCCAACATGTAAAACTTGGAGCTCTTTAAGGAACCGCGTGCCTATCTCAGGGGCTGTGCCAGCAGCTTCATGCCAACTTAAACACCTTTAACTTGTAAAACATAGTTTAGATACTAGGGGTGCCCCCCACCCCCCACCATAGATATTGATTTAAAAAATTGCTACGCGATTTTAATAAAGGTTTGGGAACCACTGGTGAAGAGAATATTGACAACAAGGTGTGCAGAATTTACTTAATTAAGTATTTAAATAACAGATGGATCGATAAGTAGATCAATAATGACACTATTTAAAGGTGCCCAAAAATGTATGTTGCATTTGAAATATGGTATACGTGTAATGGGTGCTGGATGGCCGAGCGGTCTAAACTTATTCAGTCCCGAGCTGGTGGACTGGAGTTAGCCTTGGATCGCTACTCGTCTAAGAGAAGGCAAACTCTGAAACCAAACCCGAAGATTTGGTCCCGTAGGCGGTATGTCATCGATGCAATGATGTTTCCGACAACTCCCGTGACGTGGAACGCATAAAGAGCACGGTGGTGAGACAAAGAATTACTTATTGTTCTCTACTGCAGTGGTTCTCAACCTTTCTAATGCCACGACCCTTTAATACAGTTGCCAATGTTGTTGCGACAAAATTATTTACGCTGCTACTTCATAAACTTTGGAGTATATGTGTTTTCCTATGTTCTTAGGCGACCCCTGCGATGGGGTCATTCGACCCACATGTTGAGAATCGCTGATCTACTGCATCTTGGTCTATTTCCAGTCGTCTATGACTAAGCCTTGTAACAAAAAGGCAAGGACGAGAAAGTGAGGCTGAAGAATTGAGCAACTCTCCCTCACATTCAACAAAATGCTGCTCAAGTCGAAAATTGCATTGATCTTCGTGTGCGAACGACGATCAATAAAAGCGTGTTGTAAGGTAAATATTACTACATAAAAAAGAACTTAAATATTATCACGTATCAGCATTCACATTCGATGTTCAGACGTTTTAGAAGAGTGAATCTATAGAACTGTTCCAGTTATAATTCGATGCATCTGCTAGGTAGCTATTACTTTACTGTTGATCCTCGTTAAGGCTGTTCTATTCCAACGATGCATTATTTATATGTTTGTTTCATTAGACATTTACACATACCCGGGAAAAATCCTGGACGGAGTTCTACCAGAAACTTGTTGGTCAATACGCAGACACTGTTGAGGTCAAACGTTGCTTAAAAGAACCTGATTTCAGCCGTTATCTAAAAATCTCCTCTGATGATGTTTATAATTACAGCAATAAACATCTTCTAAAAAAATTGAATAAGTGAACACTATTAGAAGAAAATGTATTGAATCAATGTCCCACTTGATTATTGAATTATAATGACTCTACCAAAGTTCTGATTGCGCACAACGTATTCTAAGCGCCTTGGGATTTTTTTGATATTTCGTCACTTGCACTACATATGATTTCACTTCTAGAGCTTCTACTTCTATTAAGTATAAACGAATCTACGCCGATAAAGTGCTCTGGCTTAAAGTATTTTGACATAAAAATGTAATTATTTAAAGGCTGGAACTTAATCTTTATAACATAAAGGAACACAAATAAAATCATAACTCTATACTTTAATACTTTCAAGGGGAGGGAGGGGGGTGTTGTGTTGCTGGCTTTGAAGTGTGTGCAGCCGATTCATTGTTTTCTTTTATTTTCTTAAACTTATAAATATTGCATTTGTAATTTAATTTATAAATAGGCGACACCAATAGACTTATGATTATTTTAATACATCATTTTGCATCATTTAATGCATCATACAGTATACACGCCTGCTAAGGGTTTCCACATAAGATTGTCCCATTTCTGGAAAGAGAAAAAAATGAGTGGCCAATATGTGAAGCGAATATACTAAATAAACTATTGTATCCTTTCAACAAAGCAACAACGAAAATAATAATAAACCACAATTATTTTCACTTTAAAACCCGCCAAGTCGAAACCATGTTATGAATAAATAGATAAATAATAAAAATAAGGTTTCATGAACATAATTAAATATATCAACTTCCTTGTAACATTACAATAACGATATATATATAAATATATAGATTTATGTTGGAATTTCATTTATATGTCTATATAGCTGGTTAGCGGAACGTCTTAGGGGTGAACTTGGCTGTTAAAGGTCTAAAAAGGGCTTTTAATTTATGAAAAGTAAACATATCCCCGATTTACATGTATAAAATTACAAGTAAAAAAAAAAATTAAAGGTTTTCGGGAAATTCCTGTTTAAATAAAGTTCATTATCAACAGCTCAGGCATATTGTATACATTTTTTTCTTCTTAAAAATGAAGCTCACAGGTCAAAGTGACCCAAGCTATTGTCATCTTTGATTCTGCTACCTGGGGGAGGGGGGGTTGAGGCTATTAGGAAATCGTACATGCTTACCAGACGGCAACACATTTGCTGGTGACGCTGTCACAGTGATAATGGTCAGGGCAGGTAACCGTGCTTGGCATGCCCGACATGAATAGGTAGAAACATGTGTCGCCTGGCTCTGTCAATAGTGGATTGAAATAAGTCACATTTATCAAGGAGTGCATATGTGAGAAGCCGCATATTTGATTTGCAAGGAACACGTTTTGTGATTTGCCGGGTCAAGGACATGTGAGGTAGGTTGTCACATCAAGTACGGGTGAGGTGCGTTGTTGACTCAAGCACAGTAGCGACCTGAGTCCGTAGTTACAGCCCTTATTATAACCGTGCACGTGAATAGGAGCCATATTGACTTAATTGGGGGTATAACAAGGTATTCAGGGCGTAGGAAATTGGGTTTTGCTGTTGATAGATTTAGCAATCTAATACATTCATCTCATGTAGCCATCTAAATTGTAGCCATTTAATGTACACATCTAAATTGTAGACATGTAATGCCACCATCTAATTTGTCGCCATCTAATGTAGCCATCTAATGTAGCCATGTAAAGTAGCCATCTAATGCAACCATCTAAAGTAGTCTTATAATAGCTAATCTAGCCGTTTATCAAACAGCCATCTAATACAGCCTTATAATGTACCCATCTAAAGCCCCCATCCAATGCTGCACTATAATTTAGCTATCTAATGTATCCATCTAATGTAGCCATCTAATGTAGCCATCTAAATTATAGCCCTCTAAAGTGTCAAACCTAAAGTCTCTACCACCCAAAATCCAATCCTCCAAGATCAAGTGCCGGGAATAAAACAAAGGCTCGCCAATGAAATAACTTAAATAAGTAACTCTACCAATTAAATTAACTGACTGACAGGATCTGATCAAGGCGTTCATTATTATTACATTAACTGAGTTGATGGATTTGCTCTTGAGCTCCTTGTCTAGACTTTCTGGAAAATCGCTAATGCAATAACCCCTGTTACTTAACAGCGCCCTAACGAAAGCGATGTAAATTATTTTTTGACTGGTCATAATGGTATTCTTTAATTATTTACCGTAATATATATTTACTGTTACACTTCTAAGCCGTTTAGAGTAATAGTATTTTTCTACGCACTTTTTTTCCCTTGTTTCTTTCTTTTTTTTTCCGTGGGGGAGTGGGGTGGTATAATAAGAGCTAAATATCTAAACAATTATTTATCAAACTTACTGAGGACTGTCACACACAGATCACAGCACCCACAAAACCCGCCATTTTTCACAACCTTTCCGTTACAGTTGGTGATAGGTGCGCAATCGGCGAGCTCACAAAAATTTGTAGCACAAACGACGGCATCTGTTGTGGTACAGAAGGCCATGACCAGGGCCAGCGTTGATAAGACTATCATATTCATGGTCGCGTCCTATGGAACATTAACATTTAAACAGTTTGACAAAACTGATGCACGCACTTGTAAACTTTCGTTTAGCATAGTAAAATTGAATATAGAAATTGAGAAAGTCTATTTTTAATTCACTTTTAATTTAAATATTTCAATTATGATTTGACGGCAGGTTGTCACAGAACATAAAAAAACAAAAAAAAAAGCAAATCTAGTCCCCCACAAGACTGACATGTAGTGAAGATAAAACATAAATTATGTTCCTATAAACTCAATGGTTCAAAAGACATTCTCGAATTCAGTGGGCGTAACAGGATGAACTAAATTTGACAGGATCCGGTGTATGAAATAGCGCAACTTTCATTGATTTAGTCGCGATATGACGTACACACATCAACAGTAAACCATGTAGTAGACATATTCTTAAAAAGTTGACCCGGTCAAAATAAGTCAAACGAAGTGGAAGTTGAGTTTACGATCTCAAGCCTGCTACTTTTAGAGTATCTAGACACACAAACTAGAAAGCCGGACTTTCTTTATCATGTCGTTCTCATATACATTATAAGTGTGTGTGTGTATATATATATATATATATATATA